GTAAGTGGTATAGGCAAGATTCAATTAAAGGAATTCTGACTTTAAAACTCATATCTTAAAAGAATTACCACATTACTGGACATTTATCCAAAGGAAATGAAATTACTGTGTCAAAGAGATATCTGCACTCCCATGTTCATTGCAGCATTTTTCACAATAGCCAAGATATGGAATCAACCTGTGTTTATCAACAGATGAATGAATAAAGAAAATGTATACATAATGGAATAACATTCAGCCTTAAAAGTAAGAAAATCCATCCCTGACAACATAGAAGGATGACTGTGTTGTCATTTGCAACTACATGGATGAACCTGGAGAACATTATGGTAAGTGAAATAGGCCAGGCATAGGAAGACAGTACTGCATGATCTCACCCATTTGTGGAATTTTAAGAAGCTGAAGTTGGAATCATAGAATTAGAGAGTAGAATGCTGGTTACCAGGGGCTGGAGGGAGGTGGGGAGGGGGGTATTGGAGAAATATTGGTCAAAGGAAAAGAAATTTCAGTTAGGTAGAAGAAATAAGTTCAAGAGATCTATTGCACTACATGGAAATCATAGTAAATAACAAGGTATTGTATTCTTGAAAGTTGCTAAGAGAGTAGATTTTAAGTGTTCTCATCATATGAAATAAGTATGTTAGGCAGTACATATATTAATCAGCTCAATGTAGTCATTCCACAGTGTATATGTATTTCAAACTTGTTGCATGTGATAAATATATATAATTTTTGTTACTTAAAAAATATTTTAAATTGTCAAAAAAAGAAGAAAAAGAACCAACACCTTTAAAAATTCATATCTTAACCAATATACTACATAGTCTCTAGCTGATACAGATCCTGTATCTGTTTTCATTTCTGAAAGGGCTGTTTTCATTTCTTTTGAGTCCTTCAAGTCACTAACATTGCATGAACATATCTCTTATTTTTAAAAATACCTTCTTTTCACCATTTTTTTTTCCCCCGTGTTTGAGAGAGGGTTGAAGTCTTGAGCTCACATAATCCTGGGATTACAGGCTCATATCTTCAACCATTTTTTACTACAAAATGGCATTTTAAAAATGGCTTGATGTAATATAAATTGTCTTTCTCAATATTATTTTCTTATTCCTCCCTTTACTTCTTGAATAGTCCTTATACTCTCTCTTATTGTTCAAACCTCTCACAACTCTGTAGACCACGCGTCCCCAAACTACGGCCTGTGGGCTGCATGCAGCCCCCTGAGGCCATTTATCTGGCCCCCGCCACACTTCAGGAAGGGGCACCTCTTTCACTGGTGGTCAATGAGAGGAGCACAGTATGTGGCAGCCCTCCAACGGTCTGAGGGACAGTGAACTGGCCCCCTGTGTAAAAAGTTTGGGGACGCCTGCTGTAGACCATAATTAGAGCAACACCACATAAGAAGAAATTTGGGTGCTCATGCCTCCCCTTAATATAGTCCTATTGCTTTCTGACCTTCTGCTGCTTGAACATCACTTTGAATATTTATTGTAATATTTATACTGTAGTAATATAGGGGCATAAGTAAGTCAATCATGATTTTAGTGGCTTAGAGACTGATTATGTTTTTCCCTGTTATTTATCCAAGTGTGAAAGAAACAAGCCCAAGGCAAAATTACAGTGACAAAATTTTTCAAAGTAAGATTTTTCTTTCAACATTTTTCAATCAACATGTATTAAGTACCCACAAGGTACTGGCACTCTGTGAGGTGCTATGGTGTACAAAGACGTGAAATGGAAAGAAAATCGTCCCCTTGGCCTTAGAATAATTTAAAGAACAATTTATACATTGGACTATTCAGTTTTCTTTGGAATTTTCTGATTTTTGACCACCTACCCTTAAGAGAGTTATAGAGGAAAGTTTTACAGGGATTGTTGCTCTTTTACCATATGGTTGACTAACTTTGAAAATTACCCATTATAATTTTTTGAAATGCTGATTGAAAGTTCATCAAATAATTTCTAGTGATAAGCCACATGGATCAACTGATTATAAATCTAGACTACTTTTGTTGAATACAATGATGGCTGACAAAAAGGCATCCCCACATTCTATGGTTAGCCAGGTTGCTTTGCCTCACAAACTTACTTCAGGGACCACTGTAGCCACAGAGGGTCCCAGGATCAGAGCTCCATAGTACTCTGGGTTCCATGCAAGAGCAGTGGACTTCACACTGGGGGATGAGAAAGGCAAGAGGGACCATGTCTTTTCTTTGGCCCTGACTCCCTCCTCAAAATTGGAGTAATTGATATTTTATAACTTTTAGATCACATATTATTTACTAAGGGTAATTTTTTTTTCAGCATCACATCATTTCCTTACTAATGGCAAACATTTGCTAAGGGCCTACTTGGGTGCCAGGAACAAAGCTGTGTGTTGAGCATGTGATGATATACAGATTATGTTTGCAGACCTTAAGGAACTTACAATGCAGAAGGGCCAGCAATTATAACATTGGATAGAGGTTAAAGTAGGGGCCTGTAAGTCAACTATCGCAGAAGAAGAAACACTTAGATTCTTGGAGAGTGGGCACAGAGGGTACCAAAAAAGTTTACTAAGGAGGCAACATTTAAACCAATTATTGTAGGGTAAGTAGTTATTCTCAAGGCAGAAAAGGGAGAAAGGGGCTAGGCAAGGTGGCTCATACCTTTAATCCCAACACTTTGGGAGGCTGAGTTAGGAGGATCACTTGATCTCAGGAGTTTGAGACCAGCCTTGGCAACATGGCAAAACCTGTCTCACCAAAAAGTACAAAAATTAACCAGATGTGGTGGCATGCACTTGTAGTTCCAGCTACTTGGGAGACTGAGCTGGGAGGATTGCGTGAGCCTTACAGTGAGCCATAACTGTACCACTGCACTCCAGCCTGAGTGACAGAGTGAGGCCCTGTCTCAAGGAAGGAAAAAAATAAAAGGAGAAGGTGAAGCCACTACAGAAGAATACATTTTTTACATACTAGTTTGTTTTTAAGTTCCTGAGCCTACTTAAAAAGGAGGTAGAGGCCAGGCTCAGTGGCTCACACCTGTAAATCCTAGCATTTTGGGAGGCCGAGGTCAGCAGATCACTTGAGGTCAGGAGTTCAAGACCAGCCTGGCCAATGTGGTGAAACCCCGTCTCTACTAAAAATACAAAAATTAGCTGGGTGTGGTGGCGGGTGTCTGTAATCCCAGCTACTTGGGAGGCTGAGGCAGGAAAATCGCTTGAACCTGGGAGGCAGAGGTTGCAGTGAGCTGGAATTGCGCCACTGCACTCCAGCCTGGGCAACAGGAGCAAAACTCCGTCTTGAAACACAACAAATGAAAACAAACAAACAAAAACAGAGGTAGAGACAAGATCAAAAAGTATGTTTAGATTATGAAGAGATTAAGCCGGGCGCGGTGGCTCAAGCCTGTAATCCCAGCACTTTGGGAGGCCGAAGCAGGTGGATCACGAGGTCGAGAGATCGAGACCATCCTGGTCAACATGGTGAAACCCCGTCTCTACTAAAAATACAAAAAAATTAGCTGGGCATGGTGGCACGTGCCTGTAATCCCAGCTACTCAGGATGCTAAGGCAGGAGAATTGCCTGAACCCAGGAGGTGGAGGTTGCGGTGAGTCGAGATCGCGCCATTGCACTCCAGCCTGGGTAACAAGAGCGAAACTCCGTCTCAAAAAAAAAAAAAAAAAAAAAAAAGATTACGAAGAGATTAGACTAGACCCAGAAGTAAACTAGAGAATAATGAAGTTTTTAATCTAGTAGTGTAATTATCAGATCTATATTTTTGATTATCATTCTCCTTTTAATGTGGAGAATGACTTTGTAGTTAATAAAGTTGTTCAGGCTAGAACAGATAAGAGATTTCCAACATGAAAGAAAAGACAAGAATTTGTGATATTTGGGGAGTAGAAATTCCAGTGCCTGACCAGAGTTGAAAGAGGGTAGCCTACGATGACCTCTAGGTTTCTGAGTAGATGGATAATGATAAAAATACATACCTCATAACTTTTAAGAACATATTTTTCACATTTTGACATCTCTGTAGTTGAGGTTCATCTTATATTTGATGATATGTCTACTTAATTGGTAGTGTTGGTATCTTTTCTTTCTCTATGTTATACTAAATAATGGTACATCATTATCCACATGATGACATCTTAAATTTAGAATAATACAAGAAATAAGAGCAGCAAGATCAGATTAGAACAAGACAGCCCAGAGGGAGAAGGTTATCACCTATGAGAGATGAGGGGGATGGTACCTTTAACCAATATTCATTACTTTATTATTTAAAACAAAAAACATATAATTTCCTGTTACTTGAGTCAGTCTCAGGATATTGAACACTTGATAATTCTAGGAAGATGAAATTTTCTACTCTGGTATCTGGACATTGGGGAATGGAGGTCAGGCCAATGCTGTGTAAGCTTAGAACTCACCTAGAGGCCGGGCGCGGTGGCTCAAGCCTGTAATCCCAGCACTTTGGGAGGCCGAGGCGGGTGGATCACGAGGTCAAGAGATCGAGACCAGCCTGGTCAACATGGTGAAACCCCGTCTCTACTAAAAATACAAAAAAATAGCTGGGCATGGTGGCGTGTGCCTGTAATCCCAGCTACTCCGGAGGCTGAGGCAGGAGAATTGCCTGAACCCAGGAGGCGGAGGTTGCGGTGAGCCGAGATCGTGCCATTGCACTCCAGCCTGGGTAACGAGAGCGAAACTCCGTCTCAAAAAAAAAAAAAAAAAAAAAAAAAAAGAACTCACCTAGAAATCTGGGTTTATGGAAAAATAGGGCAATCAATTATATTTTTTCACTGTCCGTTGAATTTTGCATCCTGAATTGAATTGATAGATGTCAATTATCAACAAAGCTCTTAATATAAATGCGCATCTTTATATTTTCAATCTTCTAGTCTTTCAGCAGTGCTGAATACTTCCATTTATCCCCTATTCTAAACAATTTGGTACAATCAATTCAGTGGACACAATGAGTCAATATGATCTATTGCTATAATGCCTTACCCAATCTTCATACTTCTACTCTTGACCTAAGCAGAGATGTCCAGTCTTTTGGCTTCCTTGGGCCACATTGGAAGAAGAAGAATTGTCTTGGGCCACACATAAAATATGCTAACAACAGCAGATGAGCTAAAAGAAAATCACACAAAAAATAATATTTTTTAAAAGTTTACAAATTTGTGTTGGGCTGCATTCAAAGCCATCCTGAGCCACATGTGGCCCATGGGCTGTGGGTTGGACAAGCTTGTTCTATAATGTGTTTTTCTACATATTCACCGGAGTAGTCATTTAAAATTAAAATTTCATGTCATTTCCCTGCTGAAAACCCTTCAGTGTTTCCAATCACCTTCGGAATAAAACCCAAACTTAGCTCAGCCTGTAACGTCTTCCCTGATCAAGGCTGCTTCCCTAACTGACCTCATCTTTCCTCTCTTACTCCTCTCTAGTCAGCCCCACCTTCTGGCTGAACCCTCCAACATCACTGTTTTCCCACCTGAGTCCCTGTGCCCTTGCTGTCCTCTCTGCCTTGGCTAAATCTTCCCAAGGTTGTCTTTCTTCATTTGAGTCTTTGTCAAATGCCACTGGCCTTGTAAGGCATTGCCCAAACACCTAATCTAACACATCGAACACCTCACACTGCCATGATCTTTCCCTTCACCCTCCTTCATTTCTCTACATTTCATTTACCATAACCTGAAATTATAGATGTAATTTTTTACTCCATTAACATATAAAATACAAAAGAAAGAAAGACTTTGTCTTATCCTGGAACTAGGCCTGGCACATAGTAAATTTTCTATAAATAAATATTCATTAAATGAACACTATCGCATTTAAGATCTGAACTAAATGTCACCATACTTGGTATGAGTCTCTGCTGTTCTGAATGCCTATCATGGCCACAGCTCTTTCTCAACAAAGTGGCCAAAGATCTTTGTGCATAGATCTTCATACTTTATACTAAGATTGCTTTTTTTTTTCTTTTTTGAAACGGAGTTTTGCTCTTGTTGCCCATGTTGGAGTGCAGTAGCCCGAACTTGGCTCACTGCAACCTCCACTTCCGAGGTTCAAGCTATTCTACTGAGTAGCTGGGATTACAGGTGCACACCACCATGCACAGCTATTTTTTTTGTATTTTTAGTAGAGATGGAGTTTCATCATGTTGGCCAGGCTGGTCTTGAACTGCTGACCTCAGATGATCTACCCACCTTGGCCTCCCAAAGTTCAGGGATTACAGGCGTGAGCCACTATGCCTGGCTACTTTATAATAAGATTCTAAGCCTCTGACCTTGGCTGATTAAACCAGGGATTGAGCCACAAGAACCAAAGACAAACTACGTACAGGCTTACTTCTCAAAGTGTGGTACATAGACTGGCAGTGTTAGCATTACTGAGGTCTGTTAGAAACACAGTATCTTAGATCTACTGAATCAGAATCTGCATTTTAAACGAGACCCCCAAGGTGACTTGTTTATATGTTAAAGTTTGAAAAACACTGATCTATAGCATTGTTGTAAAAACTTACAGTTATGGAATAAATTCAGCATGGCATAACTAGCTAAATGAATAGAGTAGAATGGGACAGAATAGGACTGTGAAGAACAGAAATTGTCAGAGTGTAAAACATAGTTTGGCTAAATATTATCTTAAGAAAGTATAAATGGCTGGGTGCGGTGGCTCATGCCTGTAATCCCAGCATTTTGGGAAGCCAAGGTCGGTGGGTCACCTGAGGTCAGGAGGTTGAGACCAGCCTGGCCAACATGGTGAAACTCATCTTTACTAAAAATATAAAAATTAGCCAGGTGCAGTGGCATGCGCCTGTAGTCCCAGCTATTTGGGAGGCTAAGACAGGAGAATTGCTTGAATCTTGAAGGCAGAGGTTGCAGCTGAGATCATGCCACTGCACTCCAGACTGAGTGACAGAGCATGAAACTCCATCTCAAAAAAAAAAAAAAAAAAAAGTATATGCATGCATGCATAAGATCACATGTAAAATATATTTATTGCTGCAGGTTGTGTTCAAAATACCTGATACATGCTGATTCCTAGGATAGCCAGGAACCTGAGGTGATAATTAGCCCATGGAGGAGTGATTCTATATTGTGACAATTGAATCAATCAAATATTTCCCCTCTAGATTTTTAACACAATAGATACCAGGAGACAGGGAGTAGTGAACTAGGATGAAAAAGTTGAGAGAGAAACAGAGGAGCTGATAAGTAGTGAAAATGGAAAATTACTGAATCCACTGTTGTATTTTACTCTGGGCTTTAGTTCCTCAGGCCTGGTCTTTCAATTGCTACCATGGTTTCTTTTCTTCTTCACTTTCTCATATCCTTTCAATAAATCTCCATCACCAGACAGACAGACCCTGAGTATAAAGCTCTCCCTGGCAACCTGAAAGAGCTTAGCACACTGGCTATTGCCATATATAATGATGTAAGAAACTAACCTCTGACACATCTAGAAATCCCCCTAAAATCCCAAGAATCCATCCTTTACTTTTAGAACTGCTGCCTTATGCAGACTTTTAACATTAACACATCGTGTCTACTTACATTCTGGGTCTAATCTGTAGAGTGAGGTGTTGGACTAGAATTCATTTATTAAATAACCATGGGAATCCAAAACATTTTTTGAGGCTGCTGGGGGAAAAGCCCAGGAGATAATATAGAGCTTAGGAACCTACAGCACTGTGAGGTGCTTGACCGTTGTACAGAGTTCGAAATCATATTTAGAAAAAAAAAAAAAAAGGAAAGTGCTGGTCAAGAAAAACCATCTGGGATCTGCTAGTCACCAATTTGTGAGTCCTGTGTTAGGTGATGTCTAATGTTGCTTCTAATGTTCTCTGATCCTAGGATTCCCTTTAATGAATAAGTGATTAAGTGAATGTTGATGACTAGCCATCATCAGAGTACTGCACAATGTAGAAAACTTATTTTCTTTCATCTTATTTCTTTTTCTTTTTTTTTTTTTTTTTTGAGACAGAGTGTTGCTCTTGTTACCCAGGCTGGAGTGCAATGGCACGATCTCGGCTCACCGCAACCTCCGCCTCCTGGGTTCAAGCAATTCTCCTACCTCAGCCTCCTGAGTAGCTGGGACTACAGGCACGCGCCACCATGCCCAGCTAATTTTTTGTATTTTTAGTAGAGACGGGGTTTCACCACGTTGACCAGGATGGTCTCGATCTCTCGACCTCGTGATCCACCCGCCTCGGCGTCCCAAAGTGCTGGGATTACAGGCTTGAGCCACCGCGCCCGGCCTCTTTCATCTTATTTCTTAATTTTGTGGAAATTCTAAAACATTTAAGATGACTCAGAGAAAAGCATGTTGGCTCACACATGCTTTTTCCTAGCACTTTGCGGGGCTCAGGTGGTCAGACTGCTTGATCACAAGAGTTAGAGACCAGCCTGGGCAACATGGCAAAAACCCACCTCTACAAAAAAAAACATGCAAAACAAACAAACAAACAAACAAAAAGCTAGGAGTGGCGGCATGCATCTGTAGTCTCAGCTACTCAGGAAGCAGAGGTGGGAGGATCATCTGTACCAGGGAGGTTGAGGTTGCAGTGAGCTGTGATCCTGCCACTGTACTTCAGCCTGGGTGACAGAGTGAGACCCTGTCTCTAAAAGAAAAAAAAGTGACTCAGAAGGGAAATATGAATATTTTCCTTTTTCAAATAAAAATGTTGAGTAAATTTCATGAAACATTTCTTTCTAGTCATGTATCAATAGTTGGATCTACCAATTCTATGCTCCATAGCTAGGTAGGTAGGTAAGTTAGAATTCTAAAAAGAAAGATATATTGAGTTTCTTTATCCACTAATTCATTTAATATCATTTATTAAGTGCCTAGCAATTGATTTGAAGATGAATTACATATTATTTGCATTTCTAGGATTAAGTTATTTTATTTACAGTGGCTCATATCAAACAAATAGCTAAAGAGAGTTTAAAGAATTAAGCCAAAAGAATTGTTTTGACAAACCTTTTTCAGACTCTTAAAATTTTCTTAGTTTTGTCCTATTACCTGCAGAGCAGAACGTAAGTTATTCAGCTCTTTTTCTCCCACCATTGCAACATGAAAGAAAAACCAAACAGACACTAAAACATCGAAAAGTCAGCAATTTGGGGGCTTAAAATGTCCTTACCTCAACATATGTGCTGTTAATAAATAACAGTTAGAGGGTTACAGTGCCTTTTGGGTGTTTTAAAAGGAAAACAAAAAACAAAGCAGCAGAGGACAGAGTAAATCTTCACCACAATAGTTGATAAAATTTCAGTACAAATCCAGTTGTGAGCAATCCATAAACATGATATTCTTATAATAATATGACATTTTGAAAATACATTTATTATCTTTCTTTGGAGACAGAGTATCACTTTGTTGCCCAGGCTGAAATGCAGAGGTGTGATTTTGGCTTATTGCAGCCTCTGTCCCCCGGGTTCAAGCGATTCTTGTGTCTCAGTCTCCTGAGTAGCTGGGATTACAGTCACCCACCACCATGCCTGGCTAATATCTTTGTATTTTTAGTAGAGACAGGGTTTCGCCATGTTGGCCAGGTTGGTTTCAAACTTCTGACCTCAAGTGATCCACTCACCTCGGCCTCCCAAAGTGCTGGGATTACAGGCGTGAGCCACATTTATCATCTTTAAAAAAACAAATGCATTTGTCAGATAAAGTCTTTCATTTGTTCAGTATACATTGCAACATATCACTAATATAAAACCAAGAAAATCACACACAGTGCACTAATTACTTAACCTGCACTCATTCAACAGTTCTTTTTTTTAACATCTGTTATATTTGAGGCATTGTGGAGAATCAAAATGAAATCCTTTTTGCACAACCTGAAGGCAATGTTTTTAGACAAGAAATCTTGAGTATTGATAGATTAGACAAGTGGAGGCCAAATTTTTATATGTTTGAGGAAAAAGTCTCCAAAACTTTGGCTAATTGAGGACTGATGAGTTCGTGTACTACCAGATCAGGTGGATCTCATCATGCCTTCCTATTCTTGTTGTTCAGGAATTTCATTATTCGCCAGTACATCCATTAAGTA